AGGGAAGGGGGGATCATCACCCCCCCAGCCCAGGAACGCTCCAAGGAGGTCGTGGAGATCATCCCCTCCATCCCAATTATTCCATGGAGATCATCCCCTCCATCCCAATTATTCCATGGAGATCATCCCTTCCATCCCAATTATTCCATGGAGATCATCCCCTCCATCCCAATTATTCCATGGAGATCATCCCCTCCATCCCAATTATTCCATGGAGATCATCCCCTCATCCCAATTATTCCATGGAGATCATCCTTCCATCCCAATTATTCCATGGAATCATCCCCTCCATCCCAATTATTCCATGGAGATCATCCCCTCCATCCCAATTATTCCAAGGAGATCATCCCCTCCATCCCAATTATTCCATAGAGATCATCCCCTCATCCCAATTATTCCATGGAGATCATCCCCTCCATCCCAATTATTCCATGGAGATCATCCCCTCCATCCCAATTATTCCATGGAAATCATCCTCTCCATCCCAATTATTCCATGGACATCATCCCCTCCATCCCAATTATTCCATGGAGATCATCCCCTCCATCCCAATTATTCCATGGATATCATCCACTCCATCCCAATTATTCCATGGAGATCATCCCCTCCATCCCAACTATTCCATAGAGATCATCCCCTCCATCCCAATTATTCCATGGAGATCATCTCCTCCATCCCAATTATTCCATGGAGATCATCCCCTCAATCCCAATTATTCCATAGAAATCATCCTCTCCATCCCAATTATTCCATGGAGATCATCTCCTCCATCCCAATTATTCCATGGACATCATCCCCTCCATCCCAACTATTCCCAGGAGCTCATTCCCCCTTCCCAAAGGGGGCTCCAGACCTTGATCATTTCGGGATCCGCCTCCGTCTCCCCCGTCAGGAGGTTTTTGGTCTTCTGGAATCGCCGCCGTTTGTATTTGTTGATCACTGGGGAGGGAACGGGAAAAGCTTTTCCAAGTCCCTTTTCCAAGTCCCTTTTCCCTCCTTTCAACCCCCTCTGGAATCTGCTGGGGAGCTCCCAGTTATCCCAGGGATCGGGAATGATGGGAATGAGCCAGGGGTTCTTCGGGAACGGCCTTGGGGCTTTGGGGGAGGAGCTTTGGGAATGGACCCGAATCCTTGGGAATGGACCTGGAGCTTTGGGAATGATCCTGAACCTTTGGGAATGGCCTTGGAGCTTTGGGGGAGGATCTTTGGGAATGGACCTGGAGCTTTGGGAACGATCCTGAACCTTTGGGAATGGACCTGGAGCTTTGGGAATGGACCCGAATCCTTGGGAATGGACCTGGAGCTTTGGGAATGATCCTGAACCTTTGGGAATGGACCTGGAGCTTTGGGAATGCACCTGAACCTTTGGGAATGGCCTTGGAGCTTTGGGGAAGAATCCTTGGGAATAGAGCTCAATCTTTGGAAAAGGACCTTCAGGAATAGCCTTGAATATTTGGGAATGGCCTTGAACCTTCGGGAATGGTCCCCTTTCCCAACGCCTTTCCCACCTCCTTTCCCATGCCCTTTCCCATCTCTCCAATCCCATTTCCCATCCCCTTTCCCATCTATCCCATCCCATTTCCCATCTCTCCCACCCCCTTTCCAATCTTTCCCATCCCATTTCCCATTTCCCCATCCCATTCCCCATTTTCCCCACCCCATTTCCCATCTGTCCTGCCCCATTCCCCATTTCCTCACCCCATTCCCCATTTTCCCACCCCATTTCCCAACCCCATTCCCCATTTTCCCCGTCCCATTCCCCATTTCCCCACCCCATTTCCCATCTCTCCCATCCCATTTCCCTGCCCTATTTCCCATCTCTCCTGTCCCCTTTCCCTTCTCTCCTGCCCCATTTCCCATTTCCCCACCCCATTCCCCGCCCCATTCCCCATTTTCCGCCCCATTCCCCATTTTCCCACCCCATTTCCCATTTTCCCTCCCCATTTCCCCACCCCATTTCCCATTTTCCCCACCCCATTTCCCATCTCTCCCATCCCATTTCCTGTCCCTTTCCCATCTCTCCTGTCCCCTTTCCCATCTCTCCTGCCCCATTTCCCATTTTTCCTCCCCATTTTCCCGTCCCATTCCCCATTTTCCCCTCCCCGTTTCCCATCTCTCCGCCCCATTTCCCCACCCCATTTCCCAAACCCATTCCCCATTTCCCCATCCCATTCCCATTTTCCCACTCCCATTCCCCATTTCCCCACCCCATTCCCCATTTTCCCGCCCATTCCCCATTTTCCCGCCCCATTCCCATTTCTCCCTTATTCCCCATTTTCCCGCCCCATTTCCCATTTCTCCCACCCCATTCCCCATTTTCCCTCCCCATTTCCCATTTCTCCTGCCCCATTTCCCCACCCCATTCCCATTTCCCCGCCCCATTCCCCATTTTCCCCATCCCATTTCCCTGCCCCATTCCCCATCTCTCCTGTCCCCTTTCCCATCTCTCCTGCCCCATTCCCCATTTCCCCACCCCATTCCCAACCCCATTCCCCATTTCCCACCCCATTCCCATTTCCCTCCCCATTTCCCATCTCTCCCTCCCATTTCCACCCCATTTCCCATTTCCCAGCCCCATTTCCCAATCCCATTTCCCATCTCTCCCATCCCCTTTCCCATCTCTCCCACCCCATTCCCCATCTCTCCTGCCCCATTCCCCATCTCTCCTGCCCCATTCCCCATTTCCCTGCCCATTCCCCATTTTCCCACCCCATTTCCCATTTTCCCACCCCATTTCCCATTTTCCCCACCCCATTTCCCATTTCTCCTCCCCATTTCCCCATCCCATTTCCATTTTCCCACCCCATTCCCTATTTCCCATCCCATTCCCATTTTCCGTCCCATTTCCCATCTTTCCTGTCCCCTTTCCCATCTCTCCTGCCCCATTTCCCATTTCCCATCCCATTCCCCAACCCCATTCCCATTCCCCTCCCCATTCCCCATTTCCCTCCCCATTCCCCGTTATCCCCGTTATTCCCGTTGTTCCCGGTGTTCCCGTCACGCACTGCGGGAGGTGTGGACGGTGGCCAGGCGCCTGTAGAGGTTCTTGTGCCGGGGGTCGGGGTGGAAGCCGCTCTTGGTGAAGTAAACGTGGACGTAGATGGAGCCGTTCTGTTGGACGCTCTGGAATTGCGACATTCCCGGATCCCCCACAGGGAAAAGAGGGAACGTTCCGGGTCGGACACGGCCGGGAAAACCCCCCCAAAAAACACTGAGGGGGTCACTGAACCCCCCCAACCCCAAAAAAACACTGAGGGGGTCACTGGAACCCCCAACCCCAAAAAAACACTGAGGGGGTCACTGAACCCCCCCAACCCCAAAAAAACACTGAGGGGGTCACCGAACCCCCCAACCCCAAAAACATTCCCAGATTCCCCCACAGGGAGAGGGAACGTTCCGGGTCGGACACGGCCAGGAAAACCCCCCCAAAAAACACTGAGGGGTCACTGAACCCCAACCCCAAAAACATTCCCAGACCCCCACAGGGAAAGGAACGTTCGGGTCGGACACGGCCGGAAAACCCCCAAAAACACTGAGGGGTCACTGAACCCCCAACCCCAAAAACATTCCCAAACCCCCCACAGGGAAAGGGCGTTCGGGTCGGACACGGCCGGAAAACCCCAAAAAAACACTGAGGGGGTCACTGAACCCCCCCAACCCCAAAAAATCATCCCCCACGTCATCCCACACGGAGCCAGCGGCTGCTCCCTGCCCATGGAAGTTACTGGAATATCCAGGAAGCCCCTGGAACGTCCTAAAAGTCCCTGGAAATCTCAGGAAGGTCCTGAAAGCCCAGGAAGCCTCTGGAAGGTCCTGGAAGATCCAGGAAGCTCCTGGAAGCCTCTGGAAGGTCCAGGAAACCCCTGGAAGCCCCTTAAAACCTCTGGAAGCCCCCTGAAGGTCCTGGAAGCCCCAAAACACCCCTGGACGGTCCAGGAAAGCCCCTGGAATGTCCTGAAAGCCCATGGAAATCTCAGGAAGGTCCTGAAAGCCCTGGAAGCCCCAGGAAGCCTCTGGAAGGTCCAGGAAGCCCCAAATCATCCCTGGAAGGTCCTGGAAGCCCCAAATCATCCCTGGAAGGTCCTGGAAGGCCCAAATTGTCCCTGGAAGCCCCAAATCGTCCCTGGAAGGTCCTAAAAGGCCCCTGGAAGCCCCAAATCATCCCTGGAAGCACCAAATCGTCCCTGGAAGATCCAGGAAGGCCCTGAAAGGTCCTGGAAGACCCGAATCACCCCTGGAAGGTCCTGGAAGCCCCAAATCACCCCTGGAAGTTCCAGCAAGGCCCAGGAAGGTCCTGGAAGCCCCAAATCGCCCCTAGAAGGTCCTGGAAGCCCCAAATTGTCCCTGGAAGCCCCAAATCATCCCTGGAAGCCCCCAAATCGTCCCTGGAAGATCCAGGAAGGCCCTGAAAGGTCCTGGAAGACCCAAATCATCTCTGGAAGGTCCTGGAAGGCCCGAATCATCCCTAGAAGGTCTTGGAAGCCCCAAATCACCCCTGGAAAGTCCTGGAAGACCTGAATCACCCCTGGAAGCCCCAGATCACCCCTGGAAGGTCCAGGAAAGTCCTGGAAGGCCCCAGTCACCCCTGGAAGGTCCTGGAAGCCCCAAATCACCCCTGGAAGTTCCTGGAAGGCCCCAGTCACCCCTGGAAGATCCTGGAAGCCCCCAATCACCCCTGGAAGCTCCAGGAAAGTCCTGGAAGCCCCAAACCACCCCTGGAAGGTCCAGGAAGGCCCAAACCACCCCTGGAAGGTCCTGGAAGCCCCCAACCACCCCTGGAAGCCCCAAACCGCCCCTGGAAGATCCTGGAAGCCCTCAATCACCCCTGGAAGGTCCTGGAAGCCCCAAACCACCCCTGGAAGGTCCCAGAAGGTGCCCCCCTCACTCAGGCACCTGTGAGATGTCGAGCTCCCCGAAGTGCTCGTAGCAGCCGTCGGCGTTGTCGCCGCTGGTCCAGTCCCCGTAGACCAGGTCGCGTTTCTGCCAGAAGAGCGCCGAGCTGGCGTTGAAATCCGTGAAGTGCTCGTGCTCCGAGATGTACACGTACAGATCCTACGGAATACCAGGAATGGGACACCGGGAAAGGCAAATCCAGGAGCAGGAGAGCCCTGGGAATGACGGGGGAACCCCCCGGAGCAAGAACAGCTCTGGTACTCCGAGATGTACACGGACAGATCCTATGGGATATCGGGAATAGAACACTGGGAAAGGCAAATCCAGGAGGGGGAGAGCCCTGGGAATATCAGGGAATCCTCAGAGCAAATGGGTCCCAACCCAGCTCATCCTGGAGCAGGAGAGCCCTGGGAATATCAGAAAATCCCTGGAGCAAATCCCAGAGCAGGAGAGCCCTGGGAATGATGGGGGAACCCCCTGGAGCAAATCCCAGAGCAGGAGAGCCCTGGGAATGATCAGGAACCCCTTGGAGCAAATCCAGGAGGAGAGCCCTGGGAATGATGGGGGAACCCCCCGGAGCAAGAACAGCTCTGGTGCTCCGAGATGTACACGGACAGATCCTACGGAATACCGGGAATGGGACACTGGGAAAGGCAAATCCAGGAGTGGGAGAGCCCTGGGAATGATGGGGGAACCCCCCGGAGCAAGAACAGCTCTGGTGCTCCGAGATGTACACGGACAGATCCTACGGAATTATGGGGTGTGGGATATTGGGAGAGGCAAATCCAGGAGTGGGAAAGGCCTGGGAATGATGGGAGAACCCCCCGGAGCAAGAACAGCTCTGGTGCTTCAAGATGTACACGTACAGATCCTACGGGATACCGGGAATGGGACACCGGGAAAGGCAAATCCAGGAGCGGGAAAGTCCTGGGAATGATGGGGGAACCCCCCAGGAGCAAATCCAGGAGCAGGAGAGCCCTGGGAATGACGGGGGAACCCCCTGGAGCAAGAACAGCTCTGGTGCTCCGAGATGTACACGGACAGATCCTATGGGATTATGGGGTGTGGGATACTGGGAAAGGCAAATCCCGGAGCAGAAGAGCCCTGGGAATGATGGGGGAAATCCCTGGAACAAATGGGTCCCAACCCAGCTCATCCTGGAGCAAGAGAGCCCTGGGAATATCAGAAAATCCCTGGAGCAAATCCCAGAGCAGGAGAGCCCTGGGAATGAAGGGGGAACCCCCTGGAGCAAGAACAGCTCTGGTGCTCCGAGATGTACACGGACAGATCCTACGGAATTATGGGGTGTGGGATACTGGGAAAGGCAAATCCCGGAGTGGGAAAGGCCTGGGAATGATGGGGGAACCTCCTGGAGCAAGAATATCTCTCGTGCTCTGAGATGTACACAGACAGATTCTATGGAATACTGGGAATGGGATACTGGGAAAGGCAAATCCAGGAGTGGGAGAGCCCTGGGAATGATGGGGGAAGCCCCCTGGAGCAAGAACAGCTCTGGTGCTCCGAGATGTACACGTACAGATCCTACGGAATTATGGGGTGTGGGATACTGGGAAAGGCAAATCCCGGAGTGGGAAAGGCCTGGGAAGGATGGGGGAACCTCCTGGAGCAAATCCCGGAGCAGAAGAGCCCTGGGAATGACGGGGGAACCCCCTGGAGCAAGAACAGCTCTGGTGCTCCGAGATATACACGTACAGATCCTACGGGATTATGGGGTGTGGGACACTGGGAAAGGCAAATCCAGGAGTGGGAGAGCCCTGGGAATGATGGGGGAAGCCCCCTGGAGCAAGAACAGCTCTGGTGCTCCGAGATGTACACGGACAGATCCTATGGGATTATGGGGTGTGGGACACTGGGAAAGGCAAATCCCGGAGCAGGAGAGCCCTGGGAATATCAGGGAAACCCCCTGGAACAAATCCTGGAGCAGGAGAGCCCTGGGAATGAAGGGGGAACCCCCTGGAGCAAGAACAGCTCTGGTGCTCTGAGATGTACACGTACAGATCCTAGGGAATACCGGGAATGGGACACTGGGAGAGGCAAATCCAGGAGTGGGAGAGCCCTGGGAATGAAGGGGGAACCCCTGGAGCAAGAACAGCTCTGGTGCTCCGAGATGTACACGGATAAATCCTATGGGATACCGGGAATGGGACACTGGGAAAGGTAAATCCTGGAGCAGGAGAGCCCTGGGAATGACGGGGAAACCCCTGGAGCAAGAACAGCTCTGGTGCTCCGAGATGTACACGGACAGATCCTATGAGATTATGGGGTGTGGGACATTGGGAAAGGCAAATCCCAGAGCAGGAGAGCCCTGGGAATATCAGGAGACCCCTTGGAGCAAAGCCAAAAGAGGAGAGCTCTGGGAATGATGGGGGAACCCCCTGGAGCAAGAACAGCTCTGGTGCTCCGAGATGTACAAGGACAGATCCTACGGAATACCGGGAATGGGACACTGGGAAAGGCAAATCCTGGAGCAGGAGAGCCCTGGGAATGATGGGGGAACCCCCTGGAGCAAGAACAGCTCTGGTGCTCCGAGATGTACACGGACAGATCCTACGGGATACCGGGAATGGGACACTGGGAGGGGCAAATCCTGGAGCGGGAGAGCCCTGGGAATGATGGGGGACCCTCCCAGGAGCAAATCCAGGAGTGGGAAAGGCCTGGGAATGACGGGGGAACCCCCCGGAGCAAGAACAGCTCTGGTGCTCCGAGATGTACACGGACAGATCCTACGGGATTATGGGGTGTGGGATACTGGGAAAGGCAAATCCAGGAGTGGGAGAGCCCTGGGAATGATGGGGGAACCCCCTGGAGCAAATCCCAGAGCAGGAGAGCCCTGGGAATGACAGGGGAACCCCCTGGAACAAATCCTGGAGCAGGAGAGCTCTGGGAATGATGGGGGAACCTCCCAGGAGCAAGAACAGCTCTGGTGCTCCGAGATGTACACGGACAGATCCTACGGAATACCGGGAATGGGACACTGGGAAGGGCAAATCCAGGAGTGGGAGAGCCCTGGGAATGAAGGGGGAACCCCCCCGGAGCAAGAACATCTCTTGTGCTCTGAGATGTACACAGACAGATCCTATGGAATACTGGGAATGGGATACTGGGAAAGGCAAATCCAGGAGTGGGAGAGCCCTGGGAATGACGGGAGAACCCCCTGGAGCAAATCCTGGAGCAGGAGAGCCCTGGGAATGATGGGGAACCCCCTGGAGCAAGAACAGCTCTGGTGCTCCGAGATGTACACGGACAAATCCTACGGGATTATGGGGTGTGGGATACTGGGAAAGGCAAATCCAGGAGTGGGAAAGGCCTGGGAATGACGGGGGAACCCCCTGGAGCAAATCCCGGAGAAGAAAAGCCCTGGGAATATCAGGGAATCCCTGGAACAAATCCCGGAGCAGGAGAGCCCTGGGAATATCAGGGAATCCATGGAGCAAATCCCAGAGCAGGAGAGCCCTGGGAATGATGGGGGAACCCCCTGGAACAAATCCCAGAGCAGGAGAGCCCTGGGAATAACAGGGGAACCCCCTGGAGCAAGAACAGCTCTGGTGCTCCGAGATGTACACGGACAGATCCTACGGGATTATGAAGTGTGGGATACTGGGAGGGGCAAATCCAGGAGTGGGAGAGCCCTGGGAATGATGGGAGAACCCCCTGGAGCAAATGGGTCCCAACCCAGCTCATCCCGGAAAAGGAGAGCCCTGGGAATATCAGAAAATCCCTGGAGCAAATCCTGGAGCAGGAGAGCTCTGGGAATATCAGGGAATCCCTGGAGCAAATCCCAGAGCAGGAGAGCCCTGGGAATATCAGGGAATCCCTGGAGCAAATCCTGGAGCAGGAGAGCCCTGGGAATGATGGGGGAACCCCCTGGAGCAAGAACAGCTCTGGTGCTCCGAGATGTACACGGACAGATCCTACGGAATACCGGGAATGGGACACTGGGAAAGGCAAATCCAGGAGTGGGAAAGGCCTGGGAATGACAGGGGAATCCTCAGAGCAAATGGGTCCCATCCCAGCTCATCCCGGAAAAGGAGAGCCCTGGGAATCACTCCCAGGTTCGGCATCTGAGCTTGACCACAGAAATCAGGGAAAAGAGGTCCTGAAGTCAGGGAAATCTAGGAAAACAGCCCCAGGAATCAGGGAAAACAGCCCCAGGAATCAAGGAAATCAGGGAAAACAGCCCCAGGAATCAGGGAAAACAGCCCCAGGAATCAAGGAAATCAGGGAAAACAGCCCCAGGAATCAAGGAAATCAGCCCTGGAAATTAGGGAAAACAACCCTGGAAACCAGGAAAAGGAGGAAAAGCAGCCCCAGGAATCAGGGAAATCAGAGAAAACTGGGAAAACAGCCCCAGGAATCAGGGAAAACAGCCCCAGGAATCAGGGAAATCAGCCCTGGAAATCAGGGAAAACAACCCTGGAAACCAGGAAAAGGACGAAAAGCAGCCCCAGGAATAAAGGAAATCAGGGAAAACAGCCCCAGGAATCAAGGAAATCAGGGAAAACTGGGAAGACAGCCCCAGAAACCAGGGAAACAGCTCTGGAAACCAGGGAAAACAGCCCGAGAACTGAAGGAAATCATGGAAAACAACCCCCAAACCCCCGGGGGTGGAACAAGGAGGGGAATTCCTGGCATTCCCGGCGTTACCATCAGGGTGTCCTTGGGGAAGAGGTTCCTGCTGGGAGCCCGGGGGGCCCCCCCGGGGCCGTTCGGCTCCTGCGGCGCCGGCGCCCTCCGGAACCAGGAGCTGATGGCCCAGATGATGAAAATCCTGCCGGGAGAAAGCGGGAAAAAGCTGCTCAGGGAGAGGGGGAACCCCGGAATGGAGCCCTTCCCGAGGGGTCAGGGCCATTCCTGAAGGTCCTTTCCCAAAGGTTCAGGGCCATTCCCAAAGGTTCAGGGCCATTCCCAAAGGTCCAGGGTCATTCCCAAAGGTTCAGGGCCATTCCCAAAGATTTAAGGCTATTCTCAAAGGTCCAGGGCCATTCCCAAAGATTTAAGGCCATTCCCAAAGATTTAAGGCCATTCCCAAAGATTTAAGGCCATTCCCAAAGATTTAAGGCCATTCCTAAAGATTCAGGGTCATTCCCAAAGGTTCAGGGTCATTCCCAAAGGTTCAGGGCCATTCCCAAAGGTTCAGGGTCATTCCCAAAGATTTAAGGCCATTCCCAAAGGTTCAAGGTCATTCCCAAAGGTTCAGGGTCATTCCCGAAGGTTCAGGGCCATTCCCAAGGATTCCAGTCCATTCCCAAAGCTCCTTCCCCAAAGCCCCAAGGCCGTTCCCGAAGAATCCCTGGCTCGTCATTCCCAATCCGTGGGATAACGGGGAGATTCCTGGCAGATCCCATTCTCACGGATCCCATTCCCACAGATCCCATCCCTCTGGGTCTCCTCCCTATGGATCCGTTCCCTGTGGATCGCATTCTCATGGATCCAATTTCCATGGAATAGATCCCATTGCCATGGATCCCATTCCCGTGGATCCCATTCCCATAGATCTCATTCCCACTGAATAGATCCCATTTCCATGGATCCCATTCCCACGGATCCAATTTCCATGGAATAGATGCCATTTCCACGGAATGGATCCCATTCCTGTAGATCCCATTCCCACAGATCCCATTTCCACAGAATGGATCCCATTCTCATGGATCCCATTCCCACAAATCCAATTTCCATGATGATCATTCCTGTGAATGGATCCTTCCCTGGGTCCCATTCCACAGATCCCATTTACGGAATGATCTCCTGTGATCCCTTCTACAGATTCCATTCCTGTGGATCCCTTCCAGAACGATCCCATCTCATGGATCTCACAGATCAGTTCCATGGAATAGATCCCATTGCCATGGATCCCATTCCTGTGGATCCCATTCCCGTGGAATGGATCCCATTCCCGTGGAATGGATCCCATTTCCATGGATCCCATTCCCATGGATCCAATTTCCATGGAATAGATCCCATTCCTGTGGAATGGATCACTTCCCTGTGGGTCCCATTCCCACAGATCCCATTTACATGGAATGGATCTCATTCCTGTAGATCCCTTTCCTACAGAATAGATCCCATTCCCATGGATCCCATTCCCATGGAATTGATCTCATTCCCATGGATCCCATTCCCACGGATCCAATTTCCATGGAATAGATCCCATTTCCACGGAATGGATCCCATTCCTGTAGATCCCATTCCCTGTGAATCCTATTCCCATGGATCCCATTTTCACAGAATGGATCCCATTCCCGTGGAATGGATCCAATTTCCATGGAATAGATCCCATTCCCATGGATCCAATTCCCACGGATCCCATTCCCGTGGATCCCATTCCCAGCCCGGGCAGGCCCCGCTCCAGGATCCGCCCCTGGACTTTGGATCCATGGGTGGGGCAGCTCCAGGAGCGGCTCCTGACCCTGAAATCCCACGGAAAACTGGGAAGAGCCTCCGGAAAAAAAAACCCTCCTGTGTCGAGACGATCCCTGCAGGGCTTTGGGGTCACCCACTGGAATTTTGGGGTCACCCCAAAGGTTTTGGGATCATTCCCTGGAGTTCTGGAATCACCCCCTGTGGTTTTGGGGTCCTGGTGTGACCCTGTGACCCCCCCAGGGTTTTGGGATCACCCCCTGGAGTTTTGGGATCACCCCCTGGAGTTTTGGGGTCACCCCCTGGCGTTTTTGGGGTCCTGGTGCGACCTCGCAGGGTTTTGGGGTCACTCCTTGGAGTTTTGGGGCCCTGCTGTGACCCCCCCAGGGTTTTGGGATCACCCCCTGGCATTTTTGAGGTCCTTGCGGGACCCCCAAGGATTTTGGGATCACCCCTGGAGTTTTGGGGTCCCAGTGTGACCCCACAGGATTTTGGGATCACCCCTCAGAGTTTGAAGTCCCCCCTGCACCCCACCAGAGGTTTTGGGGTCCCAGCGTGACCCCACAGGATTTTTAAGGTCCTGGTGTCCCCCCCCTGGATTTTGGGGTCCCCCCCTGGGTTTTGGGGTCCCCCCCCATGGTTTTGGGGTCCACCCCTGGATTTTGGGGTCATCCCCATGGTTTTGGGGTTCCCCCCTGGATTTTGGGGTCATCCCCATGGTTTTGGGGTCCACCCCATGATTTTGGTGTCACCCCCTGGATTTTGGGGTCCCCCCCTGGATTTTGGTGTCCCCCCCTGGATTTTGGGGCCCCCCCCTGGATTTTGGTGTCCCCCCCATGGTTTTGGGGTCCCCCCCATGATTTTGGGGTCCCCCCCATGGTTTTGGGGTCCCCCCCATGATTTTGGGGTCCCCCCCATGGTTTTGGGGTCCCCCCCTGGATTTGGGGTGTCCCCCTGGACTTTCAGCGCCCCCCTGTGCCCCGTGGGGCCTTTGGGGTCCCCCAGCCCCCCCTTTTTTGGGGGCTCACCTGAACAGGACCCCCTTGATGACCTGCCAGGCGTTGGGGGGGGGTTGCTGCTGCTGTCGCTGCGTCTCGGCCCCGTCCCCTCCCCCCGCGCTGCCGTTGCTCGTCACCTGGGGGGGGAGGGGAGGGTCATGGGGGGGGGATGGGACTGTCCCCAGGCCCCTGTCCCCATCCCTATCTCCTGTTCCCATCCCTGTCCCCTGTCCCCATCCCTGTCCCATCCCTGTCCTATCCCTGTACTGTGACCCCCATCCCAGTCCCCTGTTCCCATCCCTGTCCCCTGGTCCCATCCCTGTCCTATCTCAGTCCCATCCCTGTCCTATCCCACTCCCATCCCTGTCCCCTGTTCCCATCCCTGTCCTATCTCAGTCCCATCCCTGTCCCCTGTTCCCATCCCTGTCCCATCCCTGTCCTGTGATCCCCATCACTGTCCATTGTCCCCAGGCCCCTGTCCTATCCCAGTCCCATCCCTGTCCTATCCCTGTCTCCTGTTCCCATCCCTGTCCCCTGTCCCCATCTCTGCTCTCTGTCACCATCCCTGTCCCGTAATCTCCATCCTTATCCCATCCCTGCCCCCTGCTCCCCATCCCTGTCTTGTCCCAATCCCCTGTCCCCAATCTTGTCCCATGCCAATCCCCTGCTCCCCATCCCTGTCCCCATCCCAGTCCCATCCCTGTCCCAGGACCCCCATCCCAATTCTCAGGTCCCATCCCAGTTCCCTGATTCCCATCCCTATCCATGTCCCAGGATCTCCATCCCAGTCCCATCCCTGTCCCCCGGTCCCCCTCCCTGTCCCAAACCTATCCCTTGGTCCCATTCCTGTCCCATCCCAGTCCCAGTCCCCTGTCCCAGTCCTGGTCCCATCTCTGTCCCCAATTCCCAGTCCCCATCCCACTCCCAGTCCCATCCCAGTCCCTGATTCCCCATCCCCATCCCGCTCCCAGTCCCATCCCAGTCCTCAGTCCCATCCTGGTCCCATCCAGACCTGTCCCAGTCCCAACCCCATCCCAGTGCCGACCTCATCCCAGTCCCGACCTCATCCCAGTCCTGGTCCCATCCCAGTCCCCAATCCCAGTCCTGTCCCTAATTGCTGGTCCTTATCCCAGTCCCTGTCCCAAACTTGTTCTTGGTCCCTGTCCCACCCCTATTCCCAGTCCCCATTTCCAGTCCCTGTCCCATTCCCATTCCCTGGTCCCCATTTCCAGTCCCTGTCCCATTCCCATTCCCAACTCCTGTCCCATTCCCAGTCCCTGGTCCCCATTTCCAGTCCCAGGTCCCCATCCCTGTCCCTGTCTCTGTTTCCTCCCTCTCCCCTGTCTCTCTGTCCCCATCCCCACTGTCCCCAGTGTCCCCTCTGTCCCCCCCGGTGTCCCCGTTATCAGCCCGGGCCCCGTTCCCATTCCCGGCCCCGCTGTCCCCCCTGTCCCTGCTGTCCCCTCCTGTGTCCCCCCCCATTGTCCCCAAGTATCCTCCCCTGTCCCGGGCCCTGTTCCCATTCCCGGCCCCGCTGTCCCCCTGTCCCTGCTGTCCCCTCCTGTGTCCCCCCATGTCCCTCATTACCCTCCCCTGTCCTGGTCCCCGTTCCCGGCCCCGCTGTCCCCCCGCTGTCCCCCGGTGCCCCTGTATCTCCATTACCATCCCGGTCCCGGTCCTGGTCCCGCCCCGCTGTCCCCTCACTGTCCCCTGTCCCCTGGTGTCCCCCTGTATCTCCGTTACCATCCTGGTCCTGCTCCTGGCCCCGCCGCCTCCCCGGCCCTGCTGTCCCCCCACTGTCCCCCGGTGTCCCCCTGTATCTCCGTACCATCCTCGTCCCTGTTCCTCGGTCCTGGCCTCCGCCGCCTCCCCTGCCCCGCTGTCCCCCCACTGTCCCCGCTGTCCTCTGTCCCCCGGGTGTCCTCTGTCCCTCTGGTGTCCCTCGTGTGTCCCGTCACTCATCCTGGTCCCCTGCTTCTCGGTCCCGGCCTCGCTGTCCTCTCGCTGTCCCGGTGTCCCCTGTCCTCCTGTCCCCCTGGTGTCCCCCTGTAGTCTCCATTACTCATCCTGGTCCCTCGTTCCTCGGTCCCGGCCCCATCGCCTCCCTGACCCGCTGTCCCTGCTGTCCCCCCGGTGCCCCCTGTCCCCCCTGGTGCCCCCACTGTCCCCTGTCTCCTGGTGTCCCCCTCGGTGTCCCCCTGTATCTCCGTTACCATCCTGGTCCCTGTCCCGGTCCTCGGCCCCGCCGCCTCCCCGGCCCCTGCTGTCCCTGCTGTCCCCCTGGTGTCCCCTGTCCCCGCTGTCCCCCGGTGTCCCTTGTCCCCCTGGTGTCCCCTGTCCCCCCACTGTCCCCTGTCCCCCTGGTGTTCCCCCGGTGTCTCCTGTTACCATCCTGGTCCCTGTTCCCGGTCCTGGCCCCGCTGCCTCCCCTGACCCGCTGTCCCCGCTGTCCCTGCTGTCCCCCTGCTGTCCCCTGTCCCCCCTGTCCTCCTGTCCCCTGGTGTCCCCTGGTGTCCCTGTTACCATCCTGGTCCCTGTTCCTGGTCCTGGCCCTGCTGCCTCCCTGGTCCCTGCTGTCCCCGCTATCCCCCTGCTGTCCCCTGTTCCCCTGGGTCCCTCTGTCCCCCTGTCCCCTGGTGTCCTCCTGGTGTCCCCCTGTATCTCCAGCTACTATCCTGGTCCCTGTTCCTGGTCCTGGCCCTCGCTGCCTCCCCTGGCCCCCTGTGTCCCCCCTGCTATCCCTGCTGTCCCCTGCTGTCCCTGTGTCCCCTGTCCTCCCTGTCCCTCCGGTGTCCCCTCTGAGACTTCAGTTACCATCCTGGTCCCTGTTCCTGGTCCTGGCCCTGCTGCCTCCTGGCCCGCTGTCCCTGCTGTCCCCTGCCATCCCTGCTGTCCCCTCGCTGTCCCTGTGTCCCCTGTCCCCCTGTCCCCTGGTGTCCCCCGGTGTCCCCGCTACCATCCTGGTCCCCGTTCCTGGTCTCCTGTTCCTGGTCCTGGCGCCTCCCTGACCTGTGTCCCTGCTATCCCTGCTGTCCCCTGCTGACCCCTTGTCCCCCCTGTCCCCCCTGGTCCCCCTCTGTCCCCCTGTATCTCCAGTTACCATCCTGGTCCCTGTTCCTGGTCCTGGCCCTGCTGCCTCCCTGGCCCCGCTGTCCCTGCTGTCCCTCACTGTCCCTGCTGTCCCTGTGTCCCCTGCTCTCTGTCCCCCTGGTGTCCCTCTGGTGTCCCCCTGGTGTCCCTGTTACCATCCTGGTCCCTGTTCCTGGTCCTGGCCCTGCTGCCTCCCCGGCCCTGGCGCCGCCATCTTTGCTGCGCTGCTGCCTCGCGCTGCTCTCGCGAGACCGCGCCAACCACGTGACCCTCCCAAAGAGGGGGGGCGGAGCGCGGGAAACCGGCCCCGCCCACAAAACACCGCCTATGACGTCACGCCCCGCTCGCCCAATAGCGGCCGGAGAGGGAGGGGTTTCCCCCTCGGCGCGGTGACGTCACTGCGGGCTCAGCCAATGGCGGCGCGCTCCGTCCCTCCCCCCGCCCCCGCCCGGGGTTTCCTGCGCCCCGCGGCGGTGACGTCACGGGCCCGCTCAGCCAATGGCGGCGTGGCCCGCGCGGGGATTTCCAGGTCCGGCGGCCTCGGGGGGCCTGGGGGGGCTCGGGGGGCTCCGGGAGCGGCACCGGGAGCGGCACCGGGAGCGGCTCCGGCACCGGGAGCGGGGCCTGGAACCCCACGGGCACGGCCATGGCGCTGCTGCTCGGTGAGCGCCGCGGGACTGGGGCAGCTGTTCCGGGACACCCGGGGGCCTCGGGGCGGCACTGGGGGTTCGGTGGGGGCACCGGGAGCAGGGACTGGGGAGCTGTTCCGGGACACCTGGGGGTTAGGGGCGGCACTGGGAGCGGGCCTGGCCATGGCACTGCTGCTCGGGTGAGCGCAGCGGGACCGAGGGGGCACCGGGGACACCGGGAGCGGCACTGGAGCGGGGACCGGGGACTGGGGGAGCCGTTCCAGGGCAACCTGGGGATTCAGGGAGGGGAAGGGAACGGGGCGTGTCACGTGTCTTGGGGACCCCCGATCGCGGCGGGGGAGGTGTTCCGGTGTTGGGGACCCCCAATCGCGGCTGGGGATGGGGAACAGGGTGGGGGTGTTGGGGACCCCTGATCGCGGGGGTGGGAACAGGGTGGGGGTGTTCCGGTATTGGGGACCCCCATCCCGGCCGGGGGCGGTCCTGGGGACCCCCTTCGTTCCTGCTTGGGGGACAAGGGGTCGTGAGGGGGTCCCTTGGTGGCTTCTGCTTGGGGGTCTGGGGTGGGTAACAGGGGTTTTGGGGACCCTCCCCGGTGCCTGTCCGTGGGGTTGATGATTGTTGGTGGGGAAAGGTGGTCGTGGGGGTCCCCTGGGGGGGTGTCACGGTCCTGGAGGGGGTCACGGTCGTGGGGGGGGTGTCACGGTCCTGGGTGGGGGTGTCACGGTCCTGGGTGGGGGTGTCACGGTCCTGGGGACCCTCCCGGTCCAGATCCCTGTCCCTGGTCCTGGAAATCCTTCTGGATTTGCCCTGGGGGATCCCTGGATCCTTCGCTCCCTCCTTCCCCGAGGGGGGCATCGATCCTGGGATGCCCTGATCCCCCTGTCTTGCTTGGAGATCCTGGGATCCTCTTTTCCTTCCCCATTATCCCCCTTTCCCTGCCCCATGATCCCATTAACCCCCATTCCTTCCCTGTTATCCCATTATCCCATTTTCCTGCCCCATTATCCCCCATTCCTGCCCCATTATCCCCCTTTCCTGCCCCATGATCCCATTAACCCCCATTCCTTCCCCATGATCCCATTAATCCCCATTCCTTTCCCTTTATCCCATTATCCCATTTTCCTGCCCCATTATCCCCCTTTCCTTCCTCATGATCCCATTAACCCCCATTCCTTCCCCATGATCCCATTATCCCCCATTCCTGCCCCATTATCCCCCTTTCCTTCGCCATGATCCCATTAATCCCCCATTCCTGCCCCATTATCCCCCTTTCCTGCCCCATGACCCCATTAACCCCCATTCCTTCCCCATGATCCCATTAATCCCCCATTCCTGCCCCATCATCCCCCTTTCTTGCCCCATTATCCCTCTCCCCCTGTTATCCCCCCAGTCCCTCTCCCTGGGGGTGTTTGGGGTGACATTCCCGTGTCCCCCCCCAGGAGCTGCCCTGCAGGACCCCGGCCTGGCCATGGCCCCCCCTGCGCCCGTCACAGGTGAGACCCCCCTGTCCCTTCGTGTCCCTTCCTGTCCCCTCCTCAGGGGGGTCCCTGAGACCCTCCCTGTCCCCTCCCTGTCCCCTCTCCTGTCCCCTCTCCTGTCCCCTCTCCTGTCCCCTCCCCTGTCTCCTCCCCTGTTCCCTCCTGTCCCCTCCCCTGTCCCCCTCCCTCTTTCCTCCCTGTCCCCTCCCCTCAGGGGGGGCCCTGAGACCCTCCCTGTCCCCTCCTCTGTCCCCTCCGTCCCTCCCTGTCCCCTCTCCTGTCCCCTCCCTGTTCCCTCCCTGTCCCCTTCCCTCTTTCCTCCCTGTCCCCTCCCCTCAGGGAGGTCCCTGAGACCCCTCCTGTGCCCTCCCTGTCCCCTCCCCTGTTCCCTCTCTGTCCCCTCCCTGTCCCCTCCTGTCCCTTCCCCTGTTTCCTCCCTGTCCCTCCCTGTCCCCTCTCCTGTCCCCTCTCCTGTCCCCCCTCCTGTCCCTCCCCATCCCCTCCTGTCCCCTCCCTGTCCCCTCCCTGTCCCCCCTCCTGTCCCCCCCATCCCCCTCCTGTCCCCCCCATCCCCTCCTGTCCCTCCCCCATCCCCTCCCTGTCCCTTCCTGTCCCCTCCTGTCCCCTCTCCTGTCCCCTCCTGTCCCCTCCCCTGGGGTCCCTGAGCCCCCCCGATCTCTGGGGTGTCAGGAGGGGCTCAGGTTTTTTTCCCTTTCCAGACGATTTAGGTGAGTGAATCCCGAGGATTTGGGAACCCGGAGCCCCCCCAAGGACAGAGCTGGGGATGAGATTCCCACCCCCCGCTTTTCCATGGATTTACCCCCCCATTTTCCATGGATTTACCCCCCCATTTTCCATGGATTTACTCCCTTTCCATGGATTTACCCCCTTTTCCATGGATTTACCTCCCAGCTTTTCCATGGATTTACCCCATTCCTGGGGTTTTTTGGGGGAGAAGGGGCAGAGCTTTGAGCTGGGACCTGGCAGGGGGTGGAGGGAGGGGAGGGGATGGGAGGGGAGGGGGCTTCTCATCACCTTCCCCCTTCCCCCCCCCCGGGGATGCTCCAGCCTTGGATGGGTGGAATTTGGGGCGGGACCTCCCAAATCCCGACCCCTCAGGGCACACGGGGGGGGTCCTGCCCACCCCAGGGGGGTCTCCCGGGACTGGAATTGGGGCAGGACCCCCCCTTTATGAGCTGAGGGGTTGGGATTAGGGTGGCCCTGCCCACCCCAGGGGTTGGAATTGGGGCAGGACCCCCCCCTTTCTGAGCTGAGGGGTCGGGATTGGGGTGGTCCTGCCCACCCCGAGGGGTCTCCCAGGGCTGGAATTGGGGCAGGACCGTGGCCCTGCTCACCCTAAGTGCTGGCTGAGGAGGCCCCTTGGCTGAGGTCTGGGGTGGTCCTGCCCATCCCTAGGGGTCTCCCAGGGCTGGAATTGGGGCATGCACCGAGGGGTCGGGATTGGGGTGGCCCTGCCCACCCCGGGGCTGGAATTGGGGCAGGACCCCCCCTTTATGAGCTGAGGGGTCTGGTTTAGGGTGGTCCTGCCCACCCCGGGGCTGGAATTGGTGCAGGACCCCCCTGGCATGCACCGAGGGGTCGGGATTGGGGTGGCCCTGCCCACCCCGGGGGGTCAGGATTGGGGTGGCCCTGCCCACCCCGAGGGCTGAAATTGGGGCAGGACCCCCCTGGCATGCACTGAGGGGTCGGGATTGGGGTGGCCCTGCCCACCCCGAGGGGTCTCCCGGGGCTGGAATTGGGGCAGGACCCCTCTGGCATGCACTGAGGGGTCGGGATTGGGGTGGTCCTGCCCACCCAGGGGTTGGAATTGGGGCAGGACCCCCCTGGCATGCATTGAGGGGTCAGGATTGGGGTGGTCCTGCCCACTCCCGGGGATTGGAATTGGGGCAGGACCCCCCCTTTATGAGCTGAGGGGTCGGGATTGGGATTGTCCTGCCCATCCCGAGGGCTCTCCCGGGGCTGGAATTGGGGCGTGCACCGAGGGGTTGGGATTGGGGTGGCCCTGCCCACCCCGGGGGTTGGAATTGGGGCAGGACCCCCCCTTTATGAGCTGAGGGGTCGGGATTGGGGTGGCCCTGCCCACCCGGGGGTTGGAATTGGGGCAGGACCCCCCCCTTTATGAGCTGAGGGGTCGGGATTGGGGTGGCCCTGCCCACCCCGAGGGCTGGAATTGGGGCAGGACCCCCCCTTTATGAGCTGAGGGGTCGGGTTTAGGGTGGTCCTGCCCACCCCGAGGGGTCTCCCGGGGCTGGAATTGGGGCGTGCACCGAGGGGTCGGGATTGGGGTGGCCCTGCCCACCCCGGGGGCTGGAATTGGGGCAGGACCCCCCCTTTCTGAGCTGAAGGGTCGGGATTGGGGTGGTCTTGCCCACCCCGAGGGCTGAAATTGGGGCAGGACCCCCCTGACATGCACTGAGGTGTCGGGATTGGGGTGGCCCTGCCCACCCCGGGGGGTTGGAATTGGGGCAGGACCCCCCTGGCATGCACTGAGGGGTCAGGATTGGGGTGGCCCTGCCCGCCCCGGGGGGTCGGGATTGGGGTGGCCCTGCCCACCCCGGGGGGTCGGGATTGGGGTGGTCCTGCCCACCCCGGGGGGTCGGGATTGGGGTGGCCCTGCCCACCCCGGGGGGTGGAATTGGGTGGTCCCAATCACCCGGGGTCGGGATTGGGGTGGCCCTGCCCACCCCGGGGGGTGGAATTGGGGTGGTCCTGCCCACCCCGGGGGGTCAGGATTGGGGTGGCCCTGCCCACCCCGGGGGGTCGGGATTGGGGTGGCCCTGCCCACCCAGGGGGTGTGTCTGTGTGTCCCCCCGCCCCCCAGGCGTGTCCCCATCGCCGTGTCCCCCTCCCGCGCAGAGATCCTGGAGGAGGTGACGAGGAGGACGGATTCCAGCCGGACTCTGGCGCCCGTCCTCACCCGCCTGGTGGCCCAGCGGCCCTCGGCCCCTCCCCACCTCCCCCTCCTCCAAAGCCTCCTCCAAAGCTTCCTTCCTCGGCCCCCTCGCCCCTCGGGCCCCCTGACCCTCTGTGCCCGCGCCTCGCCCGCAGCCTCGGGGTCTCTCGCTGTCCCCCGCCTGGTCCGCGGCAGGCACGGGGGCCTGGGGCTGGAACCCCCCCAAGGGGCGGCTGGAGGGGCTGCTGGAGCCCCCCCAGGGGCGGCTGGAGGGCTGCTGGAGCCCCCAAGCTCTGCCATCACCGAGCAGCCCAAGCAGAGGGGGATGAGGTTCCGCATGAGTGCGAGGGGCGCTCGGCCGGCAGCATCCTGGGCGAGAGCAGCACCGACAGCACCAAGACCCTGCCCACCATCGAGGTGGGGGCCTCGGGGGCTCTGGGGGCTTTGGGGGTCCTGGGGGTGTTTGGGGTTTGGGGTCTGGGGCTGTGGGAACAGCGGGCAGCATCCTGGGCGAGAGCAGCACCGACAGCACTAAGACCCTGCCTACCATCGAGGTGGGGGCTCTGGGGGCTCTGGGGGCTTTGGGGGTCCTGGAGGTTGTTTGGGGTCCTGGGGTGTTGGGGGTGTTTGGGGTCTGGGGGCTGTGGGAGCAGCGGGCAGCATCCTGGGCGAGAGCAGCACTCAACAACACTAAGACCCTGCCCACCATCGAGGTGGGGGCTTTGGGGGCTCTGGGGGTCCTGGGGGGTGTTTGGGGTCTGGGGGCTGGGGAACAGTGAGGGTGACGTGGGAGTGGTCCTGGGCGAGAGTGAGCACCAACAGCACAAGACCCTGCCCACCATCGAGGTGGGGGCTCTGGGGGTCCTGGGGGTGTTTGGGGTCTGGAGGGCAGTTTGGGGTTTGGAGGGGTTGTTTGGGGTCTGGGGTCTGTGGGAACAGCGGGGTGACATGGGAGGGTCCTGGGCGAGAGCAGCACCGACAGCACCAAGACCCTGCCCACCATCGAGGTGGGGGCTCTGGGGGGGCTGGGGGGGGATATTTGAGGGGTCCTGGAGGGGTTTTTTCCCCTCATCCCGCCCATTCCCGGTGGTTTTTTTCCCGCACTCCGCCCATTCCCGCCGTTTTTTCCCACACCCCGCCCATTCCCAGTGTGTTTTTTTCCCACACCCCACCCATTCCCGGTGTTTTCCTCACCCTACCCATTCCCAGTGTTTATTCCCACACCCCGCCCATTCCCGCTGTTTATTCCCACACCCCGCCCATTCCCGCTGTTTTTATCCCCACATCCCGCCCATTCCCACTGTTTTTTTTCCCCACACCCCACCCATTCCTGGTGTTTTTTCACCTCATCCCTTTCATTCCCGGTATTTTTTCCCACACCGCGCCCATTCCCGGTGTTTTTTTTCCCTCACCCCGCCCATTCCCGGTGTTTATTCCCACACCCTGCCCATTCCCGCTGTTTTTATCCCCACACCCCGCCCATTCCCGCTGTTTTTATCCCCACACCCCGCCCATTCCCGCTGTTTTTATCCCCACATCCCGCCCATTCCCGGTGTTTTTTATCCCACACCCCGCCCATTCCCAGGGGTTTTTTTCCCTCATCCCGCCCATTCCCGGTGTTTATTCCCACACCCCGCCCATTCCCGTTGTTTTTTTCCCTCACCCCGCCCATTCCCGGCGTTTATTTTCCCACACCCCGCCCATTCCCGGTGGTTTTATTCCCTCACCCCGCCCATTCCCGGTGTTTATTTTCCCACACCCCGCCCATTCCCGGTGTTTATTTTCCCACACCCCGCCCATTCCCGGTGTTTTTTTCCCTCACCCCACCCATTCCCGGCCTTTATTTTCCCTCACCCCACCCATTCCCGGCGTTTTTCCCCTCACCTCACCCATTCCCGGTGTTTTTCCCCTCACCCCGCCCATTCCCAGTGTTTTTTTTCCCACACCCCGCCCATTCCCGGTGTTTTTACTCCCTCACCCCACCCATTCCCGGCGTTTATTTTCCCACACCCCACCCATTCCCGGTGTTTATTCCCTCACCCCACCCATTCCCGGCGTTTATTTCCCACACCCCACCCATTCCTGCTGTTTATTCCCACACCCCACCCATTCCCGGTGTTTTTTTTCCCACACCCCGCCCATTCCCGGTGTTTATTTTCCCTCACCCCACCCATTCCCGTTGTTTTTTCCCTCATCTCGCCCATTCCCGGTGTTTATTCTCTCACCCCGCCCATTCCTGCTGTTTTTATTCCCTCACCCTGCCCATTCCCGGTGTTTTTTCCCCACACCCCGCCCATTCCCACCATTTTTTTCCCCACACCCCACCCATTCCCGGTGTATTTTTCCCCACACCCCACCCATTCCCGGTGTATTTTTCCCCACACCCCGCCCATTCCCGCCGTTTTTTTCCCACATCCCACCCATTCCCGGTGTTTTCCCGTCTCCCCAGCTGCTGAACTGCGGATCCATCCCCGAGGTGACGGTCACGGCGTGCCTGGTGTGGAAGGATTGGCCCCACCGCGTCCACCCCCACGGGCTGGTGGGCAAGGACTGCGCCAACGGGCTGTGCCGCGTCGTGCTGCGGCCACTCACCAACCCCAGGCACAGGTGGGACCCAAAAACACCCACGGGGGGGATTTGGGGGGTCCCTGGGGCAGGAGGGGGTGGGAAATTGGATATCCTGAATCCACAACTGGTTTTGGGGGGATCCCTGGGGCAGGAGGGGGTGGAAAAGTGGAGCTGGCACCAGTTTTGGGGGATCTCTGGGGCAGGAGGGGGTGGGAAATTGGATATCCTGGATCCAGAACTGCTTTTGGGTGGATCTCTGGAGCAGGAGGGGGTGGGAAATTGGGTATCCTGGATCCACAACTGCTTTTGGGGGGTCCCCCTGGACAGGAGGGGGTGGGAAAGTGGATATCCTGGATCCAGAACTGCTTTTGGGGGGTCCCCTGGGCAGGAGGGGGTGGGAAATTGGATATCCTGGATCCAGAACTGCTTTTGGGGGGTTCCCTGGGCAGGAGGGGGTGGGAAAGTGGAGCTGGCACCAGTCTTAGGGGGATCTCTGGGGCAGGAGGGGGTGGAAATGGGGATTTCCTGGATCCAGAAGTGCTTTTGGGGGGTTCTCTGGGGCAGGAGGGGGTGGGAAAGTGGATATCCTGGATCCAGAACTGCTTTTGGGGGGATCCCAGGGCAGGAGGGGGTGGGAAATTGGGTATCCTGGATCCAGAACTGCTTTTGGGGGGTTCCCTGGGGCAGGAGGGGGTGGGAAATTGGGTATCCTGGATCCAGAACTGCTTTTGGGGGGTCCCTGGGGGCAGGAGGGGCTGGAAATGGGGAGCTGCTGGATCCAGAACTGCTTTTGGGGGGTCCCCCTGGGCAGGAGGGGGTGGGAAATTGGGTATCCTGGATCCAGAACTGCTTTTGGGGGGTCCCCTGGGCAGGAGGGGGTGGGAAACTGGAGCTGGCACCAGTTTTAGGGGGATCTCTGGAGCAGGAGGGGTTGGAAATGGGGATTTCCTGGATCCACAACTGCTTTTGGGGGGTTCCCTAGGCTGGAAATCTGAAACTGGCACCATTTTTGGGGTGTCTCTGGGGCAGGAGGGGGTAGGAAATTGGGTATCCTGGATCCACAACTGCTTTTGGGGGGTTCCCTAGGGCTGGAAATCTGGAGCTGGCACCATTTTTGGGGTGTCTCCTGGGGCAGGAGGGGGTGGGAAATTGGGTATCCTGGATCCAGAACTGATTTTGGGGGGTTCCCTAGGCTGGAAATCTGAAACTGGCACCATTTTTGGGGGGTCCCCTGGGAAGGAGGGGGTGGGAAATTGGATATCCTGGATCCAGAACTGCTTTTGGGGGGATCTCTGGGGCAGGAGGGGGTGGGAAATTGGATATTCTGGATCCACAACTGCTTTTTGGGGGATCTTTGGGGCAGGAGGGGGTGGGAAATTGGGTATTCTGGATCCACAACTGCTTTTTGGGTGGATCTCTGGAGCAGGAGGGGGTGGGAAATTGGGTATCCTGGATCCAGAACTGCTTTTGGGGGTTCCCTGGGGCAGGAGGGGGTGGGAAACTGGGTATCCTGGATCCAGAACTGCTTTTGGGGGGTTCCCTAGGCTGGAAATCTGAAACTGGCACCATTTTTGGGGGGTCTCTCGGGCAGGAGGGGCTGGAAATGGGAAGCTCCTGGATCCAGAACTGCTTTTGGGGGGTTCCCTGGGGCAGGAGGGGGTGGAAATGGGGATCTCCTGGATTCAGAACTGCTTTTGGGGGGTTTACTGGGCACCAGGAGTGTGGGAAGGGATGGAAATCTGGAGCTGGCACCAATTTTGGGGGGTTCTTTGGGCAGGAGGGGCTGGAAATGGGGAGCTCCTGGATCCAGAACTGCTTTTGGGGGGTCCTCTGGGGCAGGAGGGGCTGGAAGACTGGAGCTGGTACCTCTTTTGGGGTGGTTTCCTGGGCCCCAGGAGGGTGGGAAGGGATGGAAATGGGGGGATTTGGGACGTGGGGAGCCCCCTGCCCACGGCTGTGCCCCCCCAAACCCCCCCAGTTTCAGCAACCTGGGCATCCAGTGCGTGAAGAAGAAGGAGATCGAGGCGGCCATCGAGAGGAAGCTGCAGCTGGGCATCGACCCCTTCAAAGGTGGGGGGTTCTGGGACCACCCTGGGGGGCCTGGGACTACCCTGGGGGTCCTGGGTCCATCCCAGGGGGTCCTGGATCCATCCCTGGGGGGCCTGGACCCATCCCAGGGGGTCCTGTCCCCATTCCAGGGGGTCCTGTCCCCATTCCAGGGGGTCCTGTCCCCATCCTGGGAGTCAAACCCCAAACCTGGGGGTCCTGTGCCCATCCCTGGGGGTCCTGGGTCCATCCCAGGGGGTCCTGGATCCATCCCAGGGGGTCCTGGACCCATCCCAGAGGTTCCTGTCCCCATCCCAGGGGTTCCTGTGCCCATCCCAGGGGTTCCTGTGCCCATCCCAGGGGGTCCTGTCCCCATCCCAGGGGGTTCCTGTGCCCATCCCAGGGAGTCCTGTCCCCATCCAGGGGGTCCTGTCCCCATCCCAGGGGTTCCTGTGCCCATCCCAGGGGGTCCTGTGCCCATCCCAGGGGGTCCTGTCCCCACCCTGGGGGTCCTGTGCCCATCCCAGGGGGTCCTGTCCCCACCCAGGGGGTCCTGTCCCCACCCAGGGGGTCCTGTCCCCACCCTGGGGGTCCTGTGCCCATCCCAGGGTGTCCTGTGCCCATTCCAGGGGGTCCTGGGTCTATCCTGGGGGTCCTGTCCCCACCCTGGGGGTCACACCCCAAACCTGGGGGTCCTGTCCGCACCCTGGGGGTCACACCCCAAACCTGGGGGTCCTGTCCCCATCCTGGGGGTCACACCCCAAACCTGGGGGTCCTGTCCGCACCCTGGGGGTCACACCCCAAACCTGGGGGTCCTGTCCCCATCCTGGGGGTCACACCCCAAACCTGGGGGTCCTGTGCCCATCCCAGGGGTCACACCCCAAACCTGGGGGTGCTGCCCCCCCCACCTCCATGCTCGTGGGGAGGGGTCTGTCCCTCCCCTGGGGGGCATCCCCAGCCCCCTCCCAAGGGGCTGAGACCCCCCCTGTTTGTGCCCCCAGCGGGTTCCCTGAAGAACCACCAGGAGGTCGACATGAATGTGGTGAGGATTTGTTTCCAGGCCTCCTTCCGGGACCCCTCCGGGACCACCCGGCACCTCAGCCCGGTGCTGTCCGAGCCCATCTTCGACAAGAGTACGTGAGACCCCCAAATTAACCCCCAGGGACCCCCAAATTAACACCCAGGGACCCCCAAACACAACCCCAGGGACCCCCAAACACAGCCCCAAACACAACCCAGGGACCCCTCCGGGACCACCCGGCACCTCAGCCCGGTGCTCTCCGAGCCCATCTTCGACAAGAGTACGTGAGACCCTCAGAGACCCCAAAAATTAGCCCCAGGGACCCCCAAACACAGCCCCAAACTCAGCCCAGGGACCCCCAAACACAGCCCCAGGGACCCCCCGGCACCTCAGCCCAGTCCTGTCCAAGCCCATCTTCGACAAGAGTACGTGAGACCCCCAGAGACCCCCAAATTAACCCCCAGGGACCCCCAAACTCAGCCCTAGAGACCCCCCAAACACAAGCCGGGGACCCCCCGACACCTCAGCCCGGTGCTGTCCGAGCCCATCTTCGACAAGAGTACGTGAGACCCCAAAAATCAGCCCAGGGACCCCCAAATTAACCCCCAGGGACCCCCAAATTAACCCCCAGGGACCCCCAAACTCAGCCCCAGAGACCCCCAAACACAGCCCCAAACACAACCCAGGGACCCCCCGACACCTCAGCCTCGTCCTGTCCGAGCCCCTCTTCGACAAGAGTACGTGAGACCCCCAGGAACCCCCAAACACAACCCAGGGACCCCCCAGGGACCCCCAAACACAGCTCCAAACTCAGCCCCAGGGACTCCCCAGAGACCCCCCAGGGACCCCCAAACTCAGCCCCAAACACAACTCCAAACTCAACCCCAGGGACCCCCAAACTCAGCCCAGGGACCCCCAAACTCAACCCCAAACACACAGAGACCCCCAAATACACACAGACCCCCCCAGGGACCCTCTGAATGTACAGAGACCCCCAAATACACACAGACCCCCCAGGGACTCTCTGAATGTACAGAGACCCCCCCAGACCCCTCCCTGTGTGAGATTCCCAAGGGATCATCCTGCTCCTGCTCCTGGTTTGGGACATCTGGAGGAGATTTGGGGGGATCCAGGGGGTTTTTGGGGGATCCAGGGGGTCTGGGGGATCCAGGGGGTTTTGGGGGATCCAGGGGTGTTGGGGGTCCCTCCTCGGCTCATCCCGATCCTGGGGACATTCCCATGGGAACATCCTGCTCTTGGTCCTGGGGATTTGGGGGATCCAGGGAGGTTTTGGGGGTCTGGGGGTGTTTGGGGGATCCAGGGGGTTTGGGGGATCCAGGGGGTGTTGGGGATCCCTCCCGGCTCATCCCAATCCTGGGGTGGTTCCTGGACAGGATTCCCATGGGAACATCCTGCTCCTGGTTTGGGGGGTCTGGGGGAGGTTTTTGGGGGGTCTGAGGGGTGTGGGGGGATCCAGGGAGGTGTTGGGGGACCCGGGGGGGTGTTGGGGGCCCCTTCCCAGCTCATCCCAATCTCGGGGTGATCCCTGGACAGGATTCCCATGGGAACATCCTGCTCCTGGTCCAGGGGATTTGGGGGATCCGGGGAGGTTTTGAGGGGTCTGCAGGGGTTTTGAGGGGTCTGCAGGGATTAGGGGGGTCTGGGGGATCCAGGGGGTTTGGGGACTCCGGGGCGTTGGGGGTCCCCTCCGTGGCTCGTCCCAATGCCGGGGAATTTGGGGCAGAATCCACGAACACGTCGGAGCTGCGGATCTGCCGCATGAACAAGGAGAGCGGGCCCTGCACGGGGGAGGAGCTTTACCTGCTCTGCGACAAAGTCCAGAAAGGTACCCCCAAAAACCCCGGGAACCCCCCAAAACCCTGGGAACCCCCCCAAAAACCCTGGAACCCCCAAAAACCCCCGGGAACCCCCCAAAAACCCTGGAACCCCCCAAAACCCCGGGAACCCCCAAAAACCCTGACCTCCCCAAAAACCCGGGACCCCCCCAAAAACCCTGAACCCCCCAAAACCCCGGGAAACCCCCCAAAACCCGGGAAACCCCCAAAAACCCTGACCCCCCAAAAACCCCGGGAACCCCCCAAAACCCGGGAACTCCCCCAAAAACCCCGGGAAACCCCCCCAAAAACCCCTGGGACCCCCAAAAACCCCGGGAACCCCCCAAAAACCCTGAAACCCCTAAAAACTCTGGGAACCCCCCCAAAACCCCGAGAACCCCCCCAAACACCCGGAACCCCCAAAAAACCCTGAACCCCTGGGACCACCCCGGGGGCTCCTCCCACCCCGCGCAAAAATTTGGGCTCGAATTACCCCGGGGATGGGGGGATTTTGGGGGTGAAATCGTCGTGTCCCCTCCCCCGGGGAATATTTGGGGTGAAATCACCTCCCTTCTCTGGGAATATTTGGGGGAATTTGGATCCAGCACCACCCCAGGGCTGATTTTGGGGATTCCTCGGGCTACAGGAGGGAGGGAAGGGCTGGAAACCCGGATCTCCCGGATCTCCTGGATCTGGGACCATTTCCTGGGATTCTTTGGGCTCCAGGAGGGAGGGAAGGGCTGGAAACGGGGATCTCCTGGATCTGAAACTGGTCCAGGGGTGATTTTGGGAGTTCCCCGGGCTCCAGGAGGGAGGGAAGGGCTGAAAACGGGGATCCCCTGGATCTCCTGGATCTAACAGTGATCCAGGGCTGATTTTGGGGATTCCCTGGGCTCCGGGAGGGAGGGAAGGGCTGGAAATCCGGATCTCCTGGATCTCCCGGATCCAACCCCACCCCAGGGCTGATTTTGGGGATTCCCTGGGCTCCAGGAGGGAGGGAAGGGCTGGAAATCCAGATCCCCTGGATCTCCCGGATCCAGCACCACCCCAGGGCTGATTTTGGGGATTACCTGGGCTCCAGGAGGGAGGGAAGGGCTGGAAACGGGGATCCCCTGGATCTCCCGGATCCAGCACCACCCCAGGGCTGATTTTGGGGATTCCCTGGGCTCCAGGAGGGAGGGAAGGGCTGGAAATCCGGATCCCCTGGATCTCCCGGATCCAACCCCACCCCAGGGCTGATTCTGGGGATTCCCTGTGCTCCAGGAGGGTGGGAAGGGCTGAAAAGGGGGATCCCCTGGATCTCCTGGATCTGACAGTGATCCAGGGCTGATTTTGGGGATTCCCTGGGCTCCAGGAGAGTGGGAAGGGCTGGAAATCCAGATTTCCTGGATCCCCTGAATCTCCCAGATCCATCACCACCCCAGTGCTGATTTTGGGGATTCCCTGGGCTCCAGGAGGGAGGGAAAGGCTGGAAATCCGGATCCCCGGATCTTCTGGATCTCCCCGGATCCTCCCACCAGCCCAGTGCTGATTCTAGGGGATTCCCTGGGCTCCAGGGAGGAGGGAAGGGCTGGAATCCAGATCCCCGATCCGGATCTCCCGGACCCACCCCCACCCCAGTGCTGATTTTGGGGATTCCTGGCGCTGCAGGAGAGAGGAAGGGCTGGAGACGCAGGGATCCCCCGGATCTCCCGGATCCCTCACCAGCCCAGTGCTGATTCTGGGGATTCCCTGTGCTCCAGGAGGGAGGGAAGGGCTGGAAATCCAGATCCCCCGGATCTCCCGGATCCACCCCCACCCCAGGGCTGATTTTGGGGATTCCCTGGGCTCCAGGAGAGTGGGAAGGGCTGGAAACCCGGATCTCCCGGATCTCCTGGATCTCCCGGATCCATCACCACCCCAGGGCTGATTTTGGGGATTCCCTGGGCTCCAGGAGGGAGGGAAAGGCTGGAAATCCGGATCCCCCGGATCTCCCGGATCCACCCCCACCCCAGGGCTGATTTTGGGGATCCCCTGGGCTCCAGGAGGGAGGGAAAGGCTGGAAACGGGGATCCTCTGGATCTCCCGGATCCAACCCCACCCCAGAGCTGATTTTGGGGATTCCCTGGGCTCCAGGAGGGAGGGAAGGGCTGGAAATCCAGATCCCCCGGATCTCCCGGACCAACCCCCACCCCAGGGCTGATTTTTTGGGGCGGGGGCGGTTCCCGAGCTCCACGAGGAGCCTCCAACGCTCCTCCCTCTTCCCAAACCCCCCCCCAAAATCCCTCTCAGAGGACATCGCGGTGGTTTTCCGGCGGGAGTCGTGGGAGGCGCGGGCGGATTTCTCGCAGGCCGACGTGCACCGCCAGGTCGCCATCGTCTTCAAAACCCCCCCGTACCAGCACCTGGAGCTGCGCGAGCCCGTGGAGGTGGAGGTGTTCCTGCAGCGCCTCACCGACAGCGTCTGCAGCGAGTCCTTCCGATTCACCTACCTGCCCCGGGACCGCGGTGGGCACCGGGGGGCAACCGGGACCCCCGGGAGTGGGGTGGGACCACCGGGTGTGGGGTGGGACCACCGGGATGGGCACAGCGTCTGCAGCGAGTCCTTCCGATTCACAGACCTGCCCCGCGACCGCGGTGGGCACCGGGGGGCAACCGGGACCCCCGGGAGTGGGGTGGGACCCCCGGAATGGGGACAGAGTCCATAGAACAGGGACAGGGACAATGGGATGGGCACAGGGGGCATAGAGCAGGGGTAGGGACAATGGGATAGACACAGCGTCTGCAGCGAGTCCTTCCGATTCACCTACCTGCCCCGGGACCGCGGTGGGCACCGGGGGGCAACCAGGACCCCCGGGTGTGGGGTGGGACCCCCGGGATGGGCACAGAGTCCATAGAACAGGGACAGGGACAATGGGATGGGGACAGGGACAATGGGATGGGCACAGGGACAATGGGATGGGCACAGCGTGTGCAGCGAGTCCTTCCGATTCACCGACCTGCCCCGGGACCGCGGTGGGCACCGGGGGGCAACCGGGACCCCCGGGATCGGGGGGGACCACCGGGATTGGGGTGGGACCCCCGGGATAGGGGTGGGACCCCCGGGATGGGCACAGCGTGTGCAGCGAGTCCTTCCGATTCACAGACCTGCCCCGCGACCGCGGTGGGCACTGGGGGGCAACCGGGACCCCCGGGTGTGGGGTGGGACCCCCAGGTGTGGGGTGGGACCCCCGGGATGGGCACAGGGTGTGCAGCGAGTCCTTCCGATTCACCGACCTGCCCCGGGACCGCGGTGGGCACCGGGGGGCAACCGGGATCGGGGGGCGACCACCGGGATTGGGGTGGGACCACCGGGATTGGGGTAGGACCCCCGGGATGGGCACAGCGTCTGCAACGAGTCCTTCCGATTCACAGACCTGCCCCGCGACCGCGGTGGGCACCGGGGGGCAACCGGGACCCCCGGGAGTGGGGTGGGACCCCCGGGAGTGGGGTGGGACCCTCGGGATTGGGGGGAGACCCCCGGGATCGGGGTGGGACCCCCGGGATTGGGGTGGGACCCCCGGGATGGGCACAGCGTGTGCAGCGAGTCCTTCCGATTCACAGACCTGCCCCGCGACCGCGGTGGGCACTGGGGGGCAACCGGGACCCCCGGGATTGGGGTGGGACCCCCGGGATCGGGGTGGGACCCCCGGGATGGGCACAGAGTCCATAGAACAGGGACAGGGACAATGGGATGGGCACAGCGTGTGCAGCGAGTCCTTCCGATTCACCGACCTGCCCCGCGACCGCGGTGGGCACCGGGAGACCCCCGGGAGTGGGGTGGGACCCCCGGGTTTGGGGGGGACCCCTAGGGTGGGGACAGGACCCCCAGGTTTGGGGTGTGACCCCCAGGGGGTGGGAGACAGGACCCCTGGGTGGGGTCCCCCCACCCCCGGGATGGGCACAGAACCCTCAGGGTGGGCACAGGACCCCCCGGTTTGGGATGTGACCCCCAAGTTTGGGGTGTGACCCCCAGGATGGGCACAGGACCCCCAAGTTTGGGGTGTGACCCCCAGGATGGGGACAGGACCACCAAGTTTAGGGTATGACCCTCATTTTGGGGCCAGTTTGGGGGGGGGGGTCTCACCAGGCAGGCACTGGGGGGGGTCTCTGACAATGAGGGGACCCCCCATGACCCCCCCGTGTCCCCCCCAGACGCCTACGGGGTGAACGTGAAGCGCAAGCGGGGCATGCCCGACGTGCTCGAGGAGCTCTCGGGGGCAGGTGGGACCCCCGGGGACCCCCTTGGTGGGGGGGAGGGACCCCCGGGGGGGTTGGGACCCCCAGGGATGAACAGGACGTGCTGGGGACACCTCTGGAGCCACTTCGGGGTCATTTTTGGGCCACTTTTGGGTCCTCTTTGGGGTCTCTTTTGGGCTCTTTTGGGGTCACTTTTGGGTCCTCTTTGGGGTCTCTTTTGGGTCACTTTTAGGGGCACTTTTGGGGCCATTTTTGGGTCATTTTTTGGCCACTTTCTGGCCACTTCCAGGGCTAATTTGGAGCCACTTTTAAGGCAACTTTTGGGGCCATTTTGGGGCCACTTTGGGTCACTTTTGGGGCCATTTTTGAGGCCATTTTTTGAGCATATTTGGGGCCACTTTGGGTCACTTTTGGGATGACTTTTGGGCCACTTTTGGGGGCCATTTTGAGACCTCTTTTGGGCCACACTTTTGGGCCATTTTTGGGGCCACTTTGGGTCACTTTTGGGTCACTTTTGCGTCACTTTTGGGTCACTTTTCTCCCGCAGCCGGGGAGGGACTCGGAGGGAGTGGAGGGGGGCCTGAAAGTGTCCTGGGGGGCTTTGGGGACCCCCTTCCCAGCTGGGCCTGGGGGTGGTCCCGTGTTGGGGGGCCCCCCTGACCCCCCAACCCCCCCAGATCCGTATGGGATCGAAGCCAAGAGGAGGAAGAAGCCCCCTGGGTACCTGGAGCACTTCATCCCTCTGCCAGCAGCAGGTGAGACCCCCAGACCCCCCCAGGGATAGGTGGGACCCCCAGACCCCCCCAGGGATAGGTGGGACCCTCAAGCCCACCCCTAAACCTTAGGTGGGACCCCCAAACCCACCCTCAAACCTTAGGTGGGACCCTCAACACCCCCCAGGGATAGGTGGGACCCCCAAACCCCCTCTCTGGGTTAGGTGGGACCCCTAAACTCCCCCTGGGTTGGGTTAGACCCCCAAAGCCCCACCCCAGGTTGAGTGGGACCCCCAAACCTTAGGTGGGACCCCAAACCCCCCCTCAAACCTTAGGTGGGACCCCCAACACCCCCCAGGGATAGGTGGGACCCCCAAACCTTAGGTGGGACCCCTAAACTCCCCCTGAGTTGGGTGGGACCTCCAAAGCCCCCCCCGGGTTGGGTGGGACCCCCAAACCTGAGGTGGGACCCCCAACTTCCCCCTCTGGATTAGGTGGGACCCCCAGGAGGGTTTTGGGGGGTGGGAGACCCCCAGGAACGTTTTGGGGGGCCGGGACCCCCTCCCAGACCCCCTTTAACCCCTTTCCCCTCCCCCACCCAGGAGTATTTTGGGGGGCTGAGGGACCCCTGGGACTATTTTTGGGGGTGGGAGACCCCCTTTAACTCCCTTTTTCCCCCCCACCCCAGACGACGCCTTGGGGGCCCCTGACCCCTGGACCCCTGAGCCACCTCTACGTCCCTTCCCGGGCCCTCCCCCGGGGCTCCCCCGCTCTTCCCGCCGCCGGAATTCCCGGAATTCCCACCTTTCCCGGGCCCGGAGCTGCTCCTGGAACCTTCCTTGGGCCCCTCCCCCAGTTCCGAGCCCCCTGCGGACCCCCGCCCCCCACGTCCAGCCTGGTGGGGTCCCACATGTTCCCGGGGCATTTGGGGGACGGCTGAGACCACCCCTGCCCCCAAAATAAACCCCCCACCCGCCCGGGTTTGGGGACCCCAACCCAAATTAGGGACCCCCTCCCCACCGTCCCCGGGCCGGCTGGACCCCCGGGAAGGGCAGAGCTCCCTCCCCACTCATTTCCCCCAAATTTGCACTATATTTATGGGGGGCGCGAGGGACCCCGGATTGAGGGGGGCGTGGGGGACCCCTGGAATTGGGGGACCCCGAAAATGGGGAGGGGAGGGGGCGTTCCCGCCGCTCCGGGAATAAAAGATGTGGATCGACCCCCGGGATTCGTCCTTGGATTTGGGGAGGGCTGAGGGGGACCCCGGGATTGGGGAGAGACCCCCGGGGTTGGAGGGGCACCGGGAGACCCCCGGGATTGGGGGGGAACCCCTGGAATTCGGGGGGGACCCCTGGGATTGAGGAGGACCCCTGGAATTGGGGGTGCACCGGGGGACCCCCGGGATTGGGGGGGACCCCCGAAATGGGGGAGGGGGGAGGGGAGGGGGCGTCCCCGCCGCTCCGGGAATAAAAGCCGTGGATGGACCCCCAGGATTCGTCCTTGAATTGGGGGGGAGCTGGGGAATACTGGGTGAACTGGTTGAACTGGTTCCCGGTGGAAGTCCCCGCTGGGAAGCCCCGGCCACGCCCCCTGGAACTGGGAATGACCCGGAGCCACTGGGAATGACCCGGAGCCACTGGGAATGATCCAAACCCACTGGGAATGACCCGGAGCCACTGGGAATGATCCAAACCCACTGGGAATGATCCGGGTCCAGCACACATGGAGACCACGATGGGGCGGACTGGGACTGGGACCAGCCTGGCCCAGTATCCAACTGGGACCAGAATCGGGGACCAGCCTGGCCCAGTATCTGACTGGAACTGGGACCAGAATCGGGGACCAGCCTGGCCCAGTATCCCCCTGGAACTGGGACCAGAATCGGGGACCAGCCTGGCCCAGTATCCCCCTGGAACTGGGACCAGAATCGGGGACCAGCCTGGCCCAGTATCCCCCTGGAACTGGGACCAGAATCGGGGACCAGCCTGGCCCAGTATCCCCCTGGAACTGGGACCAGAATCGGGGACCAGCCTGGCCCAGTATCCCCTGGAACTGGGACCAGAATCGGGGACCAGTCTGGCCCAGTATCACCCTAGAACTGGGACCAGTGAGGCCCAGTATCCCCTTGGAACTGGGATCAGAATCGGGGACCCGTCTGGCCCAGTATCCGACTGGAACTGGGACCAGAATCGGGGACTAGTCTGGCCCAGTATCACCCTAGAACTGGGACCAGTCTGGCCCAGTATCCCCCTGGAACTGGGACCAGTCTGGCTCAGTATCCCCTTGGAACTGGGACCAGTCTGGCTCAGTATCCCCCTGGAACTGGGACCAGCCTAGCCCAGTATCCAACTGGGACCAGAA